GCATTCCTCCACTTCAACCATCCAACCTGAATTCTACTAATAATATCCCCCATCTATTTCACCATCCCTCTGAACAATAGACCCAAAATATCTAAAACGTGTACTCTTATTAATGGCTTGATCACCCAAATCACAATCCCCCCACTAGAATTATTATGACTAAAGTTACATTTCATATATTCAGTTTTAGATCTACTCAAACGAAAGCCTTCAGACTCTAAGGTTGATCTCCATAATTCAAGTTTACATTCAACTCCCTATCTAGTTTTATCAACAAGAAGAAAATATCATCAGCAAAAAGCATACAGCAGGGTACAACCTTTTGCAAATGTCTAGTGCGAACATCCATGATAAAGCAAAAAGATATGGGCTTAAGGCTAATCCTTGATGTAATCCAACTGAAATAGGAAAATACATGGTCAAATCACCTTGTGTCTAGACACAAGTAACAACTCCTGCATACATATCCTTAATGACTTGAATATATGCATTATTAACCTTTTTATTTTCTAGAACTCTCTGTAGCATTTCTCTTGGAACTTTATCATATGCTTTTTCTAAATCTATAAATATCATATGCAGATCCTTCTTATTATCTAACTCAAAATATTTCATACCATAACTCAAAATATTTGATTCATCATGATGTCAAATTTTGTGACCGTGGATATTTATAATAATAATAATTATCCTTGATCAAAATAACAAAATTACATTTGAACAAATAAAACAATATCAAATTAGTCCTTAAGTTTTAAACAATAATTATTAGCTTAAAGACATAGACAGACATGCATAGCAAAAAACTTGACAAATTATGGTTGACATCTATAAGAACTTTGCATTCTGTGTACCATCTATATGTTATTAATTCATGCTAACATAAAGTACAAGCATGAACAAAAGGATAGTTAGACATTTTTTTAATTTTAGAAATATTTATAAGTTTTTGAAACATTACAATTTTTTTTTAAAATTAATATATTCATTTAATCAAGCTTTTTTATTTTTTTAAATGTTGTATGTTCTTAAATTATTTTATGATTTTCAGAAAATTATTGCGATACTTAATTTCACAGAAAGTCAGCTGTTACGGCATACATGCATCTTAAGTGTATCTAAAGAAACCATTTAAAGGGCAGGGTAGACAATTTTTAAATCATACAAAAAATTTGGTATATATAGTGTATTTTACATGTACAATATTGATCTTGTTTTCAAGATAAATATTTTTTTATTGGAATATTTTTTTAGTTTGTTTTTAAAGAACAGTTGGGCATAATGAAGAAAATGTTGAGTCAATGAGATTTATCAGTAAGTCTTTTTCTTCAAAAGTCCATTAGAAAAAGATAGTGTTAAGATTTTTTCTTTGTTTAATTGTACACATCATATGCCAAGTGCATGAATAATATTATTTCGATATACTAATAAACTAACGAACATTTAGAATTAGAGATATTTTATTTTATTGTTGAAAAAAGAAGTGTAGATGAATAAAAATTATCGGAAGAAAGAAGAGACTAGAGGTCAATGCAAAATCCTTATCAGGATGGGGGCAATATAAAATAATTTCATAAAATTTTCTCATCATAGATTCTCTTGAATATCTTAAATAAACTTTGGAATAAAATTTTTTCATCATCGATTCTCTTGATTATCTTAAATAACTTTGGAATTTTAAATCCGAGTCTTGGTACATATTCTTTTATGTTTTTTGGCATTGTGCTGAATCCCCAAAGCTTGAAAGTGATACGAATCCTAAAGCATGTGTAAGAGGATAAAGTCCCATAGAGTCATAACTCAAAATATTTCGTACCATAACTCAAAATATTTCATTCATGTCAAATTTGGTGACCCTAGTTATTATTTATAATAGTAATAATCCCTGATCAAAATGAAAAATTACACTTGAACAAATAAAACAATATCAATTTAGTCCTTAAGTTTTAAACAATACTAATTAGCTTAAAGATAGCTATGAACATGCATAGCATAAAATATTACACAAATTATGTTGACATCTATAAGACCTTTGCATCCTATGTACCATCTATAGGTTATCAATTCATGCTAATGTAGAAGTACACCCATGAACTAAAGGATAGTCAGACATTTCTTAATTTTAGAAAGATTTATAAGTTTCTAAAACATTACATTCTTTTTTTGTTTTTTAAATTAATAAATTCATTTAATTAAATTTTTAAAAATTCTCTTTAAACTTTGTATTTTCTTAAGTTATCTTATGATTTTGAGAAAATTATTGCAACATTGAATTTCACAGTAAGTCGGTGCTGTTACAGCATACATGCATCTTAAAGCGCATTTTAAGCAACTATTTAAAGGTCAATAATTAATGGTGGTAGACCATATTCAAATCACACAGAATATTTGTTATATATAGTGTATTATACATGTGCAATATTGATCTTATTTTGAAGATAAATATTTTTTCATTGAATTTTTTTTGGGTGTTTTTTTTTAAAAAGAAAAGTTGGACATACTGAAGAAAATGTTGAGTCAATTGTCTACTTAGCAATTTTATTTATCAGTATGTCTTTTTCTTCAAAAGACCACTAGAAAAAAGAAAGTGTTAAGATTTTTTATTTGTTGAATTGCCCACATCATATTTGGCAAATGCATGAATAAACTAATTTATTATTTGCCAATTGCATGAATAAAATTATTTTAATTTATCAATATCCTAACCAGCTGTTATCATTTCACAGTTATCTGCAATTAGAATGTAGTACCATTACTTTGGATTGATGTGCAACATATCTAACTATCCTTTTAGAATGTGCGTATTTGAATTATTTCATTTTTAAAAATAAGAAGTTTTGTTATAAAAATTGGTTTAATTTTAAAAATTATGATAATTGGGAAATATATAAAGTGTCTCTGAAGGATGCTAAGAAAGCAATTTGCGATGCAAAGGTATTGGCTTTTAGTGATTTATATAATAGATTAGATACTAAAGAGGGAGAAAGATATATGTATAAATTAGCCAAACAAAGATATAGGAGTAGTAAGGATTTAGTTCAAGTGAAGTGTATTAAAGATGAAGATCAAAAAATACTTTTCTTAGAAGATGATATTCAACAAAGATGGATGAGATTTTTTGCTAAACTTTTTAATGAAGATTGTGAAAATAAGATTGACTATAGTGACCTTAGCACCCTAAATGAAAATAAAGATTTATATTTTTATCGGCGTATTAGTAAAACTGAAATTAGAGAGGCTTTAAAGAAAATGAAGGGTGAAAAAACTGTTAGACCTGATGATATTCCAATAGAGGTGTGGAAATGCTTAGGAGATGAAGGAATTTCATAGCTTACTAAATTTTTTAATATTATTTTGAAGACTAAAAAAA